GTGTCCGTCAGGAAACAAGCTGTTAACAAGTAGTTCCAGCAAACATCCACTGATAAACGAAGATGTTAACAACCTCTTGATAGCCTCATATGTTTTTAACTTAGGATCATACCTGTGTTTAGTCTAGAAAAAGGTAAATGTGTGCATTTTATTATAAAGTTGTGTATATTTACAGATTGTTGCANTCTAAAGAACTTATTTCACGTATATATGATATTTAGGCTCGCTGGTCTCATCATACAACGGCAATGAGAAAGCACCAGGGGAGGAAGCCATAACCTCTGCCGCACTGAAGCCCGCACGTGAGCCCACAGGTTCTGGTTGCTACTGTTATTCTACGCAGAGACGGTAGAAGCAAACAACAAGCTAGACTTTTGAAATTAGAGGAAGATAAGGAGGACTTTTACAAAAAAGTTATAGAGATTGTTGTCCAGAAGGATACACTTCATCTTCAAGTCAAGGTAAGACCACAATTGTAATGAAAATGGGATCTTACTAAGAGAGAACAATCCAATATTTAGATTTTGGGTATCCTTTTGTTGAACGGTCTGTTTAAAATGAATCGAAACATCAGACTAAAAAAGCTTTTGAAAATAACAGAATATTTCAATTAAGGTCAAATATAATATTTGTAAAGCTGACTCTGAAAGAGTCAGTGTCTCACCAGCCATGAACCTCACCGCACGTCACTGGTAGTACATGCGCACTGTTAAAACAGTGTACCTTCAGGCCCAATCCCAAACCATGCCCTACACCCTACAACCTACCCCTACACCCTACCCCTACCCCTCCGTTTGTGCGTTCGCACGGAGGGTCCGCCACATTAAGGGCTGTTCCAAACCAACGAGTGTGGAGCGGTGTGGAGGGGGAGTGGGCTATCAAGCCCTCAAACAGCGAGTCTGCATCGGTGCTGACTGGAGACCGGTCTCTACCTGACCGGTCTCAACTCTGTGTGTGTCCGTAAGGAAACACGCTGTTAACAAGTAGTTCCAGCAAACATCCACGGATAAATTGCGATGTTAACAACCTCTTGATAACCTCATGTTTTTAACTTAGGATCATAGGATCGTTTAGTCTAGAAAAAGGTAAATGTGTGCAATTTCTTATAAAGTTGTGTATATTTACAGACTGTTGCAAAAACTAAGACACAAACACAATTTAAGATGTTTGTAGTTTTATTTGAGTTATTAATTTACATTTTTTGTCAAAGAGATGCTGATTTGAAACCGTTGTTACATACTGTTACGGCGTTTCCTGTTTCTGCCGGAGAGAGGGGAGGCCGTCTCAAAGCTTGCTGCTGTATTTACTCCCTCCATCTGACAGGAGGGAGCCTCGTTGAGCTGCGAGTGTGGCTACAGACGGAGTTCACTCCGTCACGGAGGGGTAGGGTCGAGGGAGTGGTTTGGGATTGGGCCTCAGCCATGTTTATGCAGGACTGCACGTGGAGATGTGGACGCGCAAATCGCTCAGATTACTTAGGCCTACATGTATACAAACCTGCGGCGG